ATCAAATCAACATTCCATTCCAAACTGTGTACTGTAGTTCATGCTATGCATTTTAATGGCAGCAGCTAATGTGGTTTACAATACAACAAAGCCTCTAAGTGTACCTGTGTAGATGCCATATCAATGCAAATTCCCAGTGTTCTCTTGATGATTGCAAAAATTTGAATAGTGCTTGTGTGGCATTTCCATGGTGTCCGCATACAAATCACATTGTATTCCCATGTACATGTAGAGTATAAAAACCCCATGGTGTTTCCATGCTGATTATAAAACCCCATGGTGTTCCCATGCTGATCATAAAAGCCTCATGGTGTTTCCATGCTGATTATAAAACCCCATGGTGTTCCCATGCTGATCATAAAAGCCTCATAGTGTTCCCATGGTATCCACAAAATGTCCCATGGTGATCACTTCAACCAACATTATTTTTTTGCCAGTCCCATGGTGCACACATGGGGTCCCATGGGCAGCCCATGGGATCTGCATGGGACTTTTTGTAAGGGATTTGGTCAGTAGCTCTTTATGACCATGAAACATGGACCCTGAAAGAAGCAGATGAGTCAAGATTGACAACTTTTGAGATGTGGTCATATAGATGGATCCTCACGGTGTCATACATCCAAAGAATAACAAATAATTCCATCCTTGAAAAAAATACATGTAGGTACTGACCCAGTTCTGCTAGGAAGTGAAATAACAAAGAAAACTACACTACTTTGGCCATGTCTCAAGACCTGAGAGCTCACTGGAATGTACATGTTACCATAGTGGAGGGAAAAGCCAATAGTAGTCATTCTAGAGGCAGACAGAGAACATCATGAGTAGGCAACATAAAGGAATGGACTGGCCTCACTGCTACAGCTGCAGCTAGAGGCTTAAATTTAATCCTCCCATGCAAAGACACTTTCTTGAACCAGTTGTCCTATCAGTCAAAACTGGTAAAATTTCCCATATGTGTCTGTGTATTGGGGAAAATCAAGCGGAAGGAATTTTTGACTGTTTTTGATGTTTACAACAAAAGGAGGGTTATTAATTGTAGATAGGTCATCATGGAGGAAAGTGGTCGCCGAGGCTCTGATAGAGTATGGCACATGTACATGATGATGATGACTGTACCATGTAAAACTCAACAATAAAAGAACATTCCTATCCTCTATTTTGTGTAAGTTTTATATGAATAGTCTCCCTTCTATTTGTATCTTGCTTTGTCTTCTCTGTATATCATTTTTGATTTAACGAATTTTAAGTATTTTAATGTTCTATGCATTGTGGCAATTTAGCCTTCGGGCTGCAAACACGATGTGTTAACAATAAACCAATGTATATGCAGTACACGAAAATACTTGTAGACTGATCACTGGAACCTATCAAACACTCTTTAATTTTAGTAGTGCAAATCATTTAGCTTCACTCTCTTGTGCCAAATTTTGAAGAAATGTCACATTTTGGTTTGAGACTTTGTCTTTGCTACGTAAACATTTTAGAGAATTTTGTGAGCTGAAGAGTGAGTAAAAAGTGGCACGATTTTTGTTTGGCTTGTTTTCTGTAATTGGGGTCTCAAGTCTTTTGCACAAAGCTGTCAACTTTTAGGCAGTGGATATTTGACTATGTACCGGTACTAACCAGCCCCTTGGTCACTGCACTGAACATGCATAGTGAGTGTATTCTTGAGTAACAAATTTTTGACCTCATATTGGTTGGCCATGATCAGATTGATCATTGGTGCAGTGGCCAATACAGTGCATTTGGTATTTAGTATTCGAAAGATTTGGGCAAGTCTTCTCTTCATGGAGTCCATGATGTAATTTTTCAATAATGTTGACTCATGAAATGAATAAAATAATTATTCCGGGTCAAGATGAGCTTATAAGAATACACTTTCGTTATGCCGCTTTTCCATATTGTGATAAAATGCCCTCATCAGTTCTCAGTTATTACGGCAGCGTGGAATGAAGCCCTGACTTTGGAACTGAGAAACAATTTTTAGAAATATGGCACGAAACAATGATGGTTCTCCATGGACTTAGTACACAACCGATTAAGTAATAGATTTGTGGTACGTCTAGCACCATGCCGAATGAGTTACAGAACTTATGTGTGATTCTTAAAAGAACTTGGGGGGGTGTTCTCAGGACCACACATACATGTACTCATAAAAGAGATCTTTTGCATGATGCTACTGCAAACCTATTTCTTAACTTGCCACCTTCACTTCACACATTTCAAAACAGAAGCTTGTTCCATTATGAATGTATGTTTTGTTTCCTTTCAGTTGGTTAATAAATGTTTCTGAGTAGACAGAAATGCAGTCGTCATCGGGAGCTTCACTTCTTAGCTGTAAGGATAGGACAAGAAAGAATGGTCAGAATCATGGCAAGGTATGACAGCTGTCTAGAAACGCAATTCACTGGTAGCTGTGTGCACAACTTTAAAACCCGAGACAATGTAAAAATAAGTTTACAGTTCTGAGTGACTCACATGAGTAGGAGTAAGACCAGTGACTTAGTTTTGATTTTATGCCACCACATCTTGTTACTAATGAAGCCACAGCTTTTGAAGAAAGCTCAGTGCATAAACTCAACTTTTGCTGGTCTTTAAATTCCTAGGTTATTTTGCTCAGTGCAGTATAAGATACATATGGGCATGTGGCTTACAGAACTCTATAGTTTTAATTCTGCCACTTCTAAGAACACTCGTCACTGGTATAATCTTGTACATGTATCGGTAGCTGGCTGAGTAGGACAGTGATTCTTCTTTGACCTCAAAGGCTTACATTTGGACAGTTTGAAGCTACTTTGAGTCTGAGTCCAAGTCTGAAAAATCTGAGTAAATGTTCTCACTCTCATGTACATTTAAACATTTTGGTGCAAAGAAGAATGAGCATGCTTGGGTACATATAATATGAAATAATGGTCCCATATTTGATCACTAATTAATATAGAAACAGGTGAACTGATATCCCACTGTTTATAGTACCACAGTAATTATTCTTTACAAAGCATTTTGCAAACAGTTTTCCAAACACTTTGGAATACATCAAAACTGAAGTAGACAAGTTGACTAAAATAGAATTGAAAGACAGCTTTTAAAAGACGTAAGGTGTAATTTTTAAAATTACACCTTCAGTCTTTTCCAAAGAGAAGGTGTTATAGATACTACAGGTAAATGCATAATTCCCGCTGGGATTTGGACTCTGATGGGATAGTTGGGCTTAACTTTATCTTACCCTTTCATTTGAATGTTGGACTCACAAACTATCAGCTCTGTGAGGTACGTGTATATCTGCCAATATGTTACAAATATTGTAAGTTTGTAATCACTTCAGTGGATGCATGGTAAGAGTGAAATAAGATCAAAGCCCTGAAAAGTGGGTTTGAGTTTGGACATAGTCATTGGACTGCATTCTGTGAGACAACCTTGTGCATATAGATTCCTCAACTATTGAGAGACAAAGAATTTTTACTTACACCCCTTTGGGTGTAAAGAGCGTCACCAGATGCTCTGTGGCTTCAAGATACATGTATGATAATTCCCATGAATTCAACTATCCTACAGATACATATACATGTAAGCACGCTGTGCCATTAACGAAAACAAACTTGTCCAAGCTAATATTAGATGAGATTCCAAGACTAGGGCCTATCCCAGTGTGTGTTCCATAAACTGCTTCATTTTAGTGAAAAGACTGTGATGCACACGATTGACAAACTTTGGCATGTATCAGTCCCCAACCAATGATGTTACGTGTACATTGTACATGTACCTGTACACCATCGAAGACATACAAAAATAAACAAAAGTCACACCATGTAAGTTGTTCCCTTACGGGTCTGGTGGTAATTTTTACTTGTGACTTGTTTGTGGTTCTCATTTCAGGCAAAAGCCAGTACTTACCGGGCGAAATCAAAAGTCGCCCAAAGAAACACAATTATTCCAGCAGTACAAGTAGTAACAAAGGGACATACAAAAGCTGAGAGAAAGAGGAGGGTCACATTAGTTGTGAAATCTCCCCTGTCTTTGAGTAAGAAGCAACAAAGGTACAAGAAGGCCAAAAACGAACAGAGATTTAGTAATGACAAATGTAAATTTCATAGTGCTGAAACAACAGGCCCCAAGATGGGCAGTTTGGAAGAAAAAAGAGCAGTACACAGGGTACATGAAAGGTACGTATAATTACCTACCTTAGATTAATTTCACCTTAAAATTGAAAAAGTAAATGATTTAATACAATAAGAACTACATGTACAGTGTTTAATTATAATAACTATCATTTTTTAATAACTATCAAAGTATCGGTGCAATACTGTCAAAACTTGAGTATGTAAAATGTACTGAATGAGAACTTTAAAATTCCTAAAGAATCCCCAATTCTTTGTCATTTCAGCACTTGGTTTTTTTTTCATACTGCAATACACTTTGTAGATGAATTTAACCCCTGAAAATAATTAGATACATCCGTTCAAAAATAAATATCCAAGATGGCCAATTTCCAAATATTTGTTTGCTTTTCATCTTTTGTTCCTTTGAGTAGACAGCGTCATCAGAGCCTGAATGAAGCTATCAAAGAACTTGTCAAGATACTACCCCCTGGGGATTCCCATAAGAGTGTGACAAAGGTATGTCATGGAAACATCTCTTGGGTAAAGGATTGGACTGGCCTGCTTATAATTGTCTTGATGACCTCTTTGTTAGATGTACTTTTCTAACTTTTTTGTGCTGTATTCATTTTTTAACTTTGACTGTCTTAAATTGATGTTTTCCTTTGCAACCTGAGTGTACCTTACCATTAAGATTATATGACAATTTAACAGAAGACTTCGAGATGCTTGGTAGCAACAAACATACCAGTCTTTTTTGCCAGTTCTGAGCATGTGCATGTTGTTTTGAGTGTGCTTGCATAGTTATGAGCACTCACAATATCTAGAGAAAGGACTGGCATGTCTGTTGCCACCAGCGTCTCAGTCTTCCAATTGTCCTTTTTGCTTGAAAAGTCTTCATTGGCTGATAAGGTTTGCCCACACTTATATATTTCAAATGGTACAGTGAATGATGTTTTCTTGCTATATAAGATTTTTTGTGTAAAGTGTACTGTTAAAGTATGTTTTTACTTGATGTCATATTGATGTGAATCAAGGGATCAGTAGTCTTGCATTAATTATTCAATTTCACTTTTTGTAGCCCATTTAAAACTTTTCTAAGACATATTTTTTCCTTTCCAGTATAATGTTCTGAAGAAGGCAGATGACTACATTGATTTCTTACAATACAAAATCGCTCATCTGTGCCTTGAGCTCAGCATTGAACAGGAATTCCATGATGGACTGGTCAGTTTTAACGCACCATTAAATATCGTAGTTGGTAGGTGCTTCACCAGTTACATGTACATGTATCTCATTTTTGTGAAAAATATTACAACAGTAAGATTATGACAGTGTCATTATCAATACAATCATAAAGCAATGATTTAGACATTTTACTGAATGACTACTGAAATAAAAGTTATGTGGAATGGTTAATTTTATGACTTGTATTGCTATGATACATGTTGGTCACTTTTGATTTTCTCGGTATATTGTTTCATTACATCTTCATTTTTTACAATTGGTATTACATAATGTGGTGTTATTTGAAAACTGGTGTTTTAAGCTGTTTATAATACCAACTTAAAACCACCGACCCTTCATAACAAATCAGTACAGCACATATGCATATTATTCAAAGCAAAGACAGTTACAAAGAAAAGAGTTCATGAAATTACAGTGTACAGTGATTTGTTATCTGATCAATGTTTATTGGCATCATGGGCCATGTTCTACCATGGGCCAGTTTCATAAAACTGCAAGTTTTCGCATCAGTGATTTCACCAACCTCCGTCAGGGGTTAATCTTGCATGTACTGTGCTTACTGTAGTCTCTGAGAGGCTCTTTCCAAAATTGGCTGTGCTGTGGAATGGGGCTCTTTAGTGTAGTGTTGTGAGACTGTGTCTTAACAAATTTACCATTGAATTGATGTAGGTATGAACCACAGGGTTGGATATAATAATGAACAAATGTCCAACTGTATGGTATGAATAAACTACTTTTGGTATAACGATACATCTTTCACTCCATTGATTCATTTATCTACATGCACATGTAGTGGTGCTCTTTGAAAACAAACATGTGCATGCAGATTTGTTGAGGATGTTCACGGAGAGCGGATTTGTTTTCACTTCTTTTTCAGGTGGAGAACCACTGGAAATTCCTGCAGTTACTCCTGTGAGCCCCCAAATGCTGGAGGGTATCCAGAAGGCTACCAAAGATTTGTCCATAAATATGACAAGGAGAAGAGCTATTGACTCGGATGGAAGGATGTCCTCGCCAAGGGCCCATCAATTCAGGCCAAGAAAAAAGTCTCCGGAAATGACAACCAAGACCTGCAAAGCTCAGAACACAACCTCTGGGGCTAAGGATCAGATTCTACATATGGCATCTAATGCATCCCCAACCCTTCATGCAGAAATATTGAGTGGTGTAACTGCAACAGCCTGCGATAGTGGTGGTGAAGTTGTTGATGAATCCCATCTTCCATCAGAAACAAATTTGTCAATGGTGGCTGTGAGTCAACCGAGCCAGCTGCCAAAGCCAACCCATTCTGTTACCTGCGTCTCACACCACCAGCCACCTAATGAGGACAGTAGCTGGCCAAGAAAGATTGCATTATCTCAAAGTTCTGCAGCTTCCACTGGCAGAGAGGAAAAGGAGACATTACTGGATCATTACATCCATGCCAACTCCTCTCTTGGTGGAGAATATGCAGTTACAGCAGTAACACCTGAACCAGTTAAAGAAATCGCTTCTTCGAGCACTGTGCCAACCCAGTCAACACCCTGCCAACAACTTCATTCTGAGCACTCTTACTCAGCCAGATATGTCCCAGCATACACTTTATCTGGGCTCTCTAAGGACATCAGACAACCTGGCATACCTGTTACAGTTTCATTCAATTCTCATGAACCCTCTCAAGCCTCTCCATCTGAGACCTTAGATGCCAAGATGATGACCAACAGTCTAGGAAGGCTCAGTGGCTGTGCTGATGTTCCTTGCATCTTCAGATCCTCTGTGTATACCCAGAAGCAGCCAGTCTCATTTCCTATCAAAATAGTGACTTGTGAATCAACCATTGTCCCAAGTACAGTGGTGCATCAGTCAACTTCTGCAACCATTTATTCATCTCCAAACACTGTGACTTCCTTAGGTTGCAAGAACAGGCATCCATCTCGTTACATTCCAATTCAGCCTGCTACTAACTTGGCTAGTACCAGTGCAGCCTCAAAAACACTGCTGACCCTTCATAGGGTGTCCTCTGAAAATTCCTCAGTACAGGTTAGTCTGAAACCTTTCTCAATCTGGGACACAGTGTCATCTTTCCTGTAGGCATCGGTATGCATCAACAAGCACCTGGAAAGAACTAAGCAAAATTAAAACCTTGGTGCCAGCACTTTTCATGTCTACTGCACTGAAGCCCACTTAATTTGTGTACTGATGACAAACATTTGTGTGACATTATTGGGCATATCCAGGCAGTCTTAGAACTGTGTGGCATAAGGTCATTAAATGTCTGATTCAATTTTATTCAGACAGTTAAATCTGCTGAGAACTGTAATGCTGCTGGTACAGTAGCATTACTGTTTTGAAAAATGCACGACAGCACTTGCTGGATCATGTTTGATTAACTGGAAAAGAATGGACCTGTTCCTTTGAATTAGCCAATATTTGATACAAAACAAGATATATCTGTAATTGTACACCTTGCTCATCCTAGCTAGCACAGTGCATTACTTTAATTCTCGTACAGAAGTTAACAGTGGTTCAGAGTTTTGGTCAGTTGAGGGAAAACCCTGGAAGTGATAAACTTGCCCCCATCCCCTTCCTTGGCATGTCTAGAATTAACTGAGTCTCCTGCGTCCACATACCCCTGCCCAGCCTACATATGCAAACATGGCGGCAGGACCACAGTGCATTGTGGAGGGTCAAGGGGTGGTATGCATAATCAAGACTTTTCGTCGAATTATAATAGGCACATGGGAAATTTGCATTTGTGGGCTGGGCAGGGGTAAGTATCACCTGGAGACCCGACCCACTCCACATGGGGGAGGAATTTCAGATGTTTCATCGTCAGGAATTTGGAGTATAGACAATTTAATATTTGAAATTCAAGTGGTCATATGAAAAAATCATTATTGCCTGTAGAAGTTTCATAATATGACATGAGTTTTAAACTCCTAAACAGAATTTTTTGTCACTCTTTGGTTCACACACAGTGTGGATTCTGACTATAGCCACAAACTACTAGACACAATTTTGAGCTCCCTGAAAGGACTTTTTCTGACAGAAGTAATGACATTTCAAACTTTCCCATCTTTAAACCAGAGCAAGGAATCTACCATCACACACACTATTGCCCAGAAACTAGTGGTGGATCCTAATCACCTGAAGTTTGAGGACACAAATAGCTCAATGGAGTTGATGTGGAAGGATCAGAATTCTGTTATGACTCCTGCAGCAGCCTCTAGTTATTCCATGCGTCGCTCATGGATCAATGGATTTCAGCTCTTCACTAAAGTTAACCATCCAAGATTTAGAGAGTAAGTGATTCTTTGAAAAATATTGATCAAATGATCCTTATTTTGAACCTTTAATTCTGTCAGTGATCACTGCTAGTGTACATGTGTGCATTGGGAAAGTCTTGACATTTTGTCGGGTACTCACAGACTTTTCCTCACAAGAATGATTAATTTCATTTATTTAATATCATTTGTATCCAATATAGTTATTGAAATACATTGAAATTCGTTGTGGTTTGCGAGCGTTAAAAACGTGATAATCAGAATATATGTACAGAACAATATTAAACGACACTACAAAAATTCACACCAGAATTACAACAAATAATTTCAGACATAACGATTGATTAAATAAAATGGAATTAAGATAACAAGAAAATCTGATGAATCACTGATTAGGACTTTGATTGCACCTGTACATGTACGTTCAATAAGCGAACTGCTGAGATGAGGAGAACTTGAGGGAGACTACATGAAGTGAGTCCATCAGGACACCTTTTACATTGCGCAACTATTACTGTAATACTTAGTTATTCATACCCAGGGTACTTTTGAATTATTCATAAAACAAAAATCTGAATAACTACAGCATTTCCAAAATTAAATTTTGATGTTCATATTGCGTTGTAATTAAAACCTTTAGTTTATTGGTGACTTAACCCTTATGATGACATGTTTGTTTATGCCACATGGTGCTTATTACAGCCATACCCTGATCTTGTGGAACTTCTTTAATTACCATGAGTTTCACATTCCAAAGCCTGTTTGTAACCTCTGGAAAGCAGAGTGGGCAATTCCTTGCTGGAAATTATCAAACGTTTCAGTAGCCACCACATGCAGGAAGGATGCCTTGTTTATATTCCTTCTGAATGTTTATATTAGTGAGCAGTGTGACATCAGTGATTATGATTGGTTTGAACTTTGTGGCCCTGTTAGGATAGCAAAAATCAAGAAATACATGTTTAAAGAACCACTTGAACCACTTCACCACTTGACACCTGTTGGTTCTAAATACCAGATACCACAATGGCCTTGGCAAAAGGACAGGGCATCCACAACTTGGGTGGTTGTCGCACAGAATATTACAGAGTCACACTGGGCAGAGTTAAAGGAAAATTCACTCTTGGATCTTGACTGAGTTGTACAAATATCTGCAGAAGTTTTTCATCAATACTAATGAATTTTGATGATGTTTCCAACTTGTAGTAAGTGGCCAAGATTGCAAGGAAGGGAAATTACAAGATTGTTGAGTCAAACATGGAAGGAACTTCCTAATGACTTCAAGAAGCAATACAGGTACTTTTCCTTAAGTTTCCTCATATTTAAAGCACACCAATGTTCCTGTTAGAGCAGTGCTTTTTATTACATGTATGTGTATTCACAGTTTACAGTAGAAACTATTGTTGCATACACTGATGTAGTTTGGAGTCCCTGAAATTGCTTCTTCCCTTAAAAGGATACTTAAGGAACTTGATAATTTTTTTTAATGTTAATTGTAGCTGTAGAGCTCGTGAGTGGAACCAGTGGCACAGATGCCAGAGAGAAGCAGCCTGCCAGACCAGCAAGGATCATCCATGAACTAATGATGCATTGCTATGGACATCAAGGTATTAAAGGTTGACTCAAGGAGCCTTCTTACACACTATAATCAACATTCTCCTCTCTATTAGAACAAACTCAGTGTGGATTTGTTCTTCCATTGAAAACTTGAGTACATATATCTGTTTTTCAGTTCTGTGCCATCGAATGAACATTTCAGACCATTCCTTATTAAACCAGGGATTCTCTTGCTCAGCCATGTTGTTTGTTGATTAAGGACCCACATACCAAGTAGGCATTTAACTTGTTTTGTCAGGCATCTTCTTCATTTTATACGTTTTATTTATGTGTCTCAAATTTTAAAAAGAGCATATTTCCACAATCTTGCACTGCGTAAAATTTTCTATGTTACTCTAGCCACCTAGAAACTGGCCAGCTGCATACCTAAGGCATGCTGCATGAGGGTTCAGTTGTCCCATTTCTAAATGTATTCAATTATATGGGGGAAAATTATATGTAGGATTTTCAGACCAGTTTCATATAATGTTCATGTTCTTCAGTACACTTTCAAAATAGTAAAGTTTTCTTATTTTTCTTTTTTGTTTGTACTAGGTTTTCTTTTTTCCTGGTCATTGCACTCAGTTTATTTCCTGCAAAACAGTTTGATTTAATTGTCGTACTTCATTTACAGATATTCACGGATTACACGTTCACAATCCATAAGTTTAATTTCTACCGTCTTTTGAAATTGGTTCAAGATAGAGTCACTGAAATGCACAGATTTTTATTCTGTGTGGTGCTTTCTGTAAAAGTCAATCTGTTTCAAACTTTTAAATGTTCAATTTAGATGGGATATGGCTTACACAAATTTGAGTGGGTTTGCATCTGTCTAGCACTATAAATGTTCTGTGTGATATTCCTGTCTCATAGCCATTGTATCAATATCCTTATATGCAAATGACTTTCTTAAATTGATTCTAGAATCAGGGCAGGATTTTCTCTTGTGATTTTGTGTACAGGTGCTGCTCGTTTCAAATTAAAAGTAACAGATTTTAAAAAAGTGTCAGAATTCTAACATGAAAACAAGGTATGCTTTTGTTTGCATATGAGTTTATTTACAGGTCCTGTTTTTGTCTTTCTTTGGAAAATTCACTTTGTTATCTGTAAATTTGAATTGGAAAGTATTTGAATAGGAAGGATGGGGATGTTAACATTGTTTGTTATTCAGTTAATTGAATTCTTGATCAACCTCTTTCCAAAGACTATTTGAATACACTTGTTTATTATAAGAATTCTTAATTACACTGAGGGACTATATCACCGACTCAAGCTTGGGGAACATTCCTTTAAAAATGAGCTTCATACTAAACTGATAAAGTGTTTGATAAGATTGGCCAGGAAGCTTATATTATTGTTGGAGTTAACAAAACATTTATACATTTTGAATAGTGTGTTTATTGTCCAATTTCAGGAAAATCGTCAAATTATTACCAGACCTTTTAGTTGTTTCAAAGATAGTGACAGTGCTGAAAATCCTGTGATCTTTTTGACAGAAAGTGTTATTTTTCCAAAAAGGTTCAATTTTCATTGATCTGACATTTGAGTTATTGTTGCACTGCAGATTTATACAGTTGATATCAGTAAATATTGGTTTTAAATGTCAAAGAACACATAAACTACTGCTATCTTAGTGCAGTGCTCAGCAGTATTCCATGTGGTCTTAATGTACAGCGTACACCTGATGAATTTTTAAGAAAATGTAACTATATTTTAAATTCTGCAGTAGTCTAGTTAGTCTGCTCAGGCAGCGTAATGTAAATAGATTCAGTGTATTTAAGTCGTAGTGACTGTTTTTTCTAAGAACATCAAGGTTTACAAACTAATAGTTCCAGAGTCTGTTTGTTTTCATCATATTGCAATTGACTTGTTGAATCAGATCTTGAAATGATCGGAAAAGAATATTTATTGATCATAATACAGCGTAGAACAAACATAGAACATTTATCATTTTCTGCCATTGCTTTTCTTGCCAGTCAATCAGTGCAATTTGTTTGTTAGTTTCCAATGTAAATTGTGATTGAAAGCTCTTAAATTTTCTATTTGAAGCTCTAACATTGTAGTTCTTTAAAGTGGTTGCCATTTTCAGTCAACAATTGGTACATAATGAAGGAATGCAGGACAGTTTTCAACTGTTACCTACTCCATGCTACTAGAATCTAGTCCAATTATGGCAGGGTTTCATGGATTTAAACTGTTCAAATCTGGCACTACATCTCATTAGCAGGTTTTATATCCCAACTTTATTTTCTAGGCAGAGATCTGCCCTTAAGTTACGGCTCATTGGATTTGTGTTAAGATGCACAGATGCCTAGGAGGTTGAACAGAGTTGAATTATACCGACCATGTCTTGACCTGCCTGCAACGAACTTGCTGTAGGTTGTCATTCATCTGCATGTTTTACTTTGAATTGTCCTGTATGTCGGCAGTGTATAAGATATTGCAGTCATGACAAAATACCTGTTAGTGTATTCGAATGTTTCGAACCATTTTCTTGTTTTCTTAAAAGCATTCAAAAAAATCATTCAGATTTTGAAAAGTCGTTTTGGAACCGCACGAACTTAATTTTAGAGTCTTAACTTTCACTGGTTAATCCATAATAACACTCTGTTGCATTAAAATTTCATAAAAGTTTCTTATTTGTTACCAGTTATATTTGTTGCTCTTAATCCATTGCATTTACAAAATGGTAAGTTTTCTACCAACACGTGGAAATAAAGGACATTGAATGATAAAATCGTTGAGCAAGGTGTTTTAGCAAGCAGAACTGTACCAAGTATCATTACTGAATATTATGTGCGTAAAATGTCTGGAAAAGTTGGGTGTCACACTGCATTTCTTGAACCATATTTATAAGATAATTTGGTTTCATCAGGGTTGTGGTATCAGAGAAATAAAAATTAATGATGTGTTGATGCCAAAAATGCCTGTCAGGCCCATGTCTAAATCGATGGTGTTGATATGCGACGTTGAGAACCATCTCAATGTGCCTCCAGACTGATGATGTCACACTTTGTTTACCGGTGCACTTTTCTATGCAGCCGACATGGAGGCCTGGGTCGAATTTTTCCCCCAAACGTTTTTAGTTTCCTGTCTTGTGATTGGTCTGTTAAATGCATATTTAATGCATGGTTCTGGACCGCACAAACCAAACTTATGGTGACAATGATCCTTTCTCACGTTATTTACAAATGTACAAATTTTAAAAAAGAGCTGTTAAACGAGAGAGAGGATTTCAAGTCGGGAGTACTCTAATGTTAATTGTAGCTGTAGAGCTCGTGAGTGGAACCAGTGGCACAGATGCCAGAGAGAAGCAGCCTGCCAGACCAGCAAGGATCATCCATGAACTCCCAACCAATCCACACACTGGCTGTCAATCTCAATCCGGTGAATTTACATAACCATTCCTAAAAACCATGGACAGGGGCGTTTTGGCGATCATAACCATGAATCGGTCCGGTTGCTTCTCCATGGTTAATCACTTTGAGGGTCTGATTACTGCATAATCACGGCTAAATTATACTGAATTAAAATTATCAACATTTACCAAACCAGATCTTGGTTAAGAACGCCAAAACTCACCCCAGATGATGAAAAATGCATAAACGCAGACGGTGTCTTCTTTCGATACTGTTGTATCTCGTTTGATAAAAAAATGTATACGCGGCCCGGGGTCCACTGAGCTCCATAGGAGAGAGTCCTACTACGAGGGAACCCTTTTGATTATTTTAACCAACGGCTTCAACTTCGACGTTATCGTTTATGGAGTCCAATCATTCCGATCTGTGAGTATGGCTTCACTTCAGCCTAACAATGCGCACAGTTACATATCATGGTGTTCTATAGACGCCAAAATTACGTCGCGTCGTGCCGTAGCCCCGACACTGCTAGCCAATCACAGTGCAAAACCATAAGCCCTTCCAAGCGCCCTTTTAGTGCGCTGGGCGACGAGCAAAAATGATCAAAGACTCCGCAAGGCCGGCTATACACGGCGCACCCCATCACGGTAGCCTAACTACGGAGGGCACGTGCCCCCCCCCGAAATCTCCATTGTGGTTATACATGGATGTTAAAACATAACAATGTTAAGTCCAATGTTACGCTAATATTGTCTGATAATGTTAAGGCGACATGCTCTTGGGGGTATTTATTATACTAACATTTTGGAAAAATATCAATGTGACGTTTTTTATAAGGTCATACTGTCATGATAGTTGAATGTCATGATAATATAAGAACATCGCCGTAAAATGTTTGTGCCAGAAGGAGGCTTGAACTTTGAACGGCTACGGACGGATGATAACGACGATAACGATGCAGATAGCAATAACGAAAATACTGAGCATGCCAAAGATGTGGAAACTCGGGTCAGCTCGCCAAAAACTTCATGGAGACCAATGTCCAGAAAAAGAGTGCAACCAATAAGCCCAAGTGACGATTCTACAGAGTCTGACAACAGGTCCTATTCTCGATACCAAAAGACACTCGAGCANCGCATCTGCCGTCACCGGCAGCCATCTCCCCTACTTATAATTAAAAGGTACAATACAAGCCGACAGACATAAAAGCAGTTGGTACTACGTACAGTTTTGGAGAGTTTAGGGATTGTTTCCTTCACACAATCGAGTATGGGCAGACCGTCATCATTGTTAAAATGTGCCTCGTGAATCGGGGCAAAGTTTTGCAAACCGACCACAGGTACCGTCTCAGGGATACTCTGGTTCCGTTCTTATCCACTAAATAGTGTATTGGCATCTCCTACGTAACTGAGGAAAAGCTTGTCCTAATTCAGGAGGTATAGCAAGTGTCTTACTAGTGGATAATTCCAATTGCTGGGTTCACATGAATCGAACTCATTGTACCCCATTTTATTCAACTTACTTAATTTGCAAAAGGCTTATTAGTTGAAACAGTGTCCATATACGCACATGTGTACATGTGCATACATATGCTTGTTACTCGCTATAAATTCCACACTGAAGAAAATGTTTCTCTCTCCAATCCATTTATTTCCAGACAGTATTTGGATCAGTAAGGATGCTTAATCGTTAAACCATCACACAAGTTTTATGAAAGCATTCGTTATGTGATTCAATGTGTATGTATATAGACGAGTGGGGGTATACATTTCACAATACATGGTGTTCCATATGTGCCATCCGGCGTCGCATTTTTCAACTTGCGTCGCCTTTCATTGTGAATAAGCCATTAATCATCAATGGTCAGCCTTGGTCCAGCCTGACCTGACGTTGTTGACTTGGATGCTAAAAGTGTGCGTACATATTTTTAATGATTATGGAAACGGCTAAATTAGCATGTATGCGTCGATTAACTGTATGTAAATAAATTAACAGCCCTTTAATGAACCCGATTAGTCGTGAAAGTTCACCTCGCTCAATTTGGTTTCTCACTTCTGCAAGCTTTTTGAGTGAAAAATGTCCCCGTACTGATGATTACTAGTTGCCACAAAAATCAAACCCAGTATAGTAGGCCCATTGTTCACTCTGGTTGGTATCGTATTTGCCATCTTGCAGACATGCTTCCCGATGAAGCGTTTATTGCAGTACGGTCTATAATTTAAAATGTAACCACTCTTGGCGAAAGAATTGTCACGCACCATAACTTTGAGAAACTTTACTTTTTTCTTGGTTAAAAGAAGTTGTCAGCAATACAAAATCACGAGAGAAGAGCGGCTTGAGCTTTGAACGGGTACGGACATGTTCTCTACGTTGCTGTGCGAGTGGTGAGACCTTCTCCATACGCAATCTTTTCTTTGCTTTCATGCTTGCATGACTCTGCTTGCTTTGCTGTTTCCTTTTTCCCTTGCTGCTTTTATGACCATTTACAGTAACATCTGCAGATTATAACTACACGTACTAAAGCTACATGTACATCGTCGAGCCAACATGGCC